AGGCACAAAGCTACACAGAGAAACCCTGTCTCGAAAAACGAAAAAAAAAAAAAAAACCTTTCTAGTCTTTAAAAAAAAAAAAAAAAAAAAAAAAAAAAAGTGCCTGGCCATGGGCATGCCCTGGCAGTTGACAGGTTCTAGAGAGGAGGTAAGGAGTCAGTGAAGGAAAGTGAGCCAGGCCATGGTGGTAGAAAGAATCTTGCAGTCTAACTAACTAGCAGTTGACGTCAGTAAGCAAAAGTAAATTCATCTTGTTCCAAAAATAGATCATATCATTTTTGTTTCCAGATGGATATGTGTTTAACTTTTTCTTTTGCACATCTGGGGGTCATAAGATGAGTCATTATTGATAAATCATGACCAGAGTTATCTCTTACAATCATTTTTTCCTCAAGCTCAGTCATCATTGATAAACAGAGCTATCTTTTATAATCATTCTTACTCATACCAACCCCATAGCTCAATTTTTAAGAATCTAGAGGCATATGACAGCCTGTTTTCAGACTGGTAGTTCTTATGGCTTCAAGGATGCTAGACAGAAAATATCCAAGCCAGTCTGGGCAGTTTGCCATGTCCTGAGCAGTATATTATTAACTCTTAATGGTCAGAGTGCCCAAGAAAATCCTCAGGCCAAAGCTGCTGCAGCTATTATTTAATTTTCAGCATAATACAATGTTTATTTATTTATTTATTTATTTTTGGTTTTTCGAGACAGGGTTTCTCTGTAGCTTTGCGCCTTTCCTGGAACTCGCTTGGTAGCCCAGGCTGGCCTCGAACTCACAGAGATCCGCCTGACTCTGCCTCCCGAGTGCTGGGATTAAAGGCGTGCGCCACCACCGCCCGGCCAATGTTTATATTTTATATCCTTATGAAATTTGTATGTCTAATCCTGGCATTCTTTTGATTTTGGTCATATGATAGCACAGTGGCTCTGCATGAGCAAACAGAACAAAGTGTAGGGGAAGTTTTCCTGTCCAGAATGCCTGTTTCCGAATACCTGGCAGCTGCTTCCCAAATTACCGCACAGAAGCTTATAGTAATTATAAATGCTCAGTTGATAGCTCAGGCTTGTTACTAACTAGCTCTTACAATTTAAATTAATCAGTTCTATTAACCTATATATCACCACGTGGGGCATGGCTTTACCTGTCCTCTAACATGTCTTGTTTCCTGGGAGGCTGGCTGGCATCTTTCCTGACTCTGACCTCCTTCTTCCCATCAATCTCAGTTTGGCTTTCCCACCTAACTTACTGCCCAGCTACCAGCCTATCAGTTTCTTATTAACCAATGAGAATAATATTTATTCACAGTGTAGAAAAGGATTGTTCCACAGCAACAAAGGGAGGTCCTGACACCTCATTATCATCTTTTCATACTATTTTTTGTCTACCAATATAAGTCCCTGTGTAGGGAAGAGGTAACTTCAGCTAATCTAACTTTGTTGCTGTATATGCCATGTAATCGCCTGAGCATATAGTAGGAAGAGGCTTGTAATTTGACTTGTGGCCAACTTTCCCCCAAATCTTGTTGACCTTTTAAGTTTACTGTTACTATCTTGTTTCTGAGTGTGGTGGTTTGAAAGTAAATGGCCCCCAAAGGGTATGGCACTATTAGGAGGTATGATCTTGTTGGAGGAAGAGTGTCACTGGGAGGAGCAGGCTTTGAAGTCTCTTTTGCTCAACCTTCCCTCAGTGTGATAGTCTACTTCCTGTTGCCTGCAAGATGTAGGACTCTCAGCTCAAGCATCATGTCTGACTGCATGATGCCATGCTCCCCATCATGATGATAATAGACTGAACCTCTGAAACTGTAAGGAAGCCTCCTCAATTAAACGTTTTCACTTGTAAGAGTTGCCATGGTCATGGTGTCTCTGAACAGCATAAAAAAAAACCCTAACTAAAAGAGAAATTGGTATCAGGGACTGGGGTATTGCTGTGATAGGCCTGACCAAGGTTTTGTTTGGAGTGATATGAACTTTGGGACTGTGGATTAGAAAAGCAGTTGAACGTTTTAAGTGCTGCTTAATGGGCCTTACTTACCTGGAGGAGCATGGAAGACAGTGGTGCTGAGTGTGATTTGATGAACTGTGGCATGCTCACTTGCTGTGGAACAATCTTTGTACACTGTAAATATGTACTGTTTTCATTGTTAATAAAAAGATGATTGGCCAGTAGCTGGGCAGGAAGAGATTAGGCAAGACAGCCTGAGACGGAGAGAATGCTGGGAAGAGGAAGGGCAGAGTCAGGAGTTTCCAGCCAGATACAGAGGGAGCAGGAAATGAGTATGCCATGCTAATAAAAGTACCACCATGTGGCAGGGCATAAATAAGGAATATGGGTTAATTTAAATGTAAGAGTTAGGTAGTAATAAGCCTGAGGCATTGGCCAAGCATTCATAAGTAATATAACCCTCCATGTGGTAATTTGGAAATGGTTGCTGGGATGGGGAAACATTGCCTACACTCACTCAAGAGATTTCAGAGAATTTTAGTATGTTGCCTAGACAACATTCTTGTGATATTTTGGTGAAGAAAGTGGCTGCCTTTTGCCCTTGTCCAAAGAGCCTGCCTGAGGCTAAAGTGAAGAATTTTGGATTGATTCCACTGGTAGAAGAAGTCTCAAGACACCCTAGTACAGACTCTGTCGTGTTGTTTTTAGTGGTAACTCTAATGAAGATTTAGAATGAAAAGGAGCAAGCTGAGCAGGGTAAATTACAAAATGAAAATTTTGAGGAGAAAAAGAGCACCACAAAGTGGAATAGAGCTAAACTCTGTGTTTAAGGCAATAAATGGATTAAGAAGTGGAATAAAAGGAGTGGTGATCTCAGGGTAAGATCCCACCCAGCTAAATTTCCAACTTGTGCAAAGGAACTAAAGAAAAGCTTAGAGCTGGGTGTAGCGGGACACACTTTTAATCTTAGCACTGGGAAAACAGTTTGGCAGACTTCTGAGTTTGAGGCCAGCCTAGTCTACAGAGCAAGTTTCAGGACAGCCAAGCCTAGGCAATGAAGGACAGAAAGCTGGTAAAGATGTAATTGAACAACAGGGCCATGTTCCAACCCCAGCAAGCAGCAGAACTTGGTAGCTTCAGCCACGTGGTTCTAGCTTTAGAGTTAAGGATAGAAGAAAGGAGCCGTGGAATAAAGCCACTGAGGCCAGGCATGTGTCGGGGTGTCTCAGAATGGAGGCCTAGTAGAAAGTCCATTGCATGAAGCTGCAAAGTTGAAGCCTGGATTGCCTTGGAGCCCCGCTCCCCCCACCCCAAGATGTTAAAGATGACAGAGTCATGGGATACCTGCTGAGAAGAGCTGCTACAGGGAATGGAACTAGACCAAGAGAAAGAAGTATGTTACAGTCAACAAAGCTGAACGGAGCTGGAGATGTTGAGAGCGTTTTGACATCAGACATGGAGATGCAGAGTCTGGAGTTTGCCCAGCTGGTTTTCAGTATTACTTGTGTCCAGTATTCCTTTGCTTTGCTCCCTTCCCTGCATTTTGGAATGGTAATGTATATCCTGCGCCATTATATGTTGAAAGTATGCAATCTGCTTTTTTTATTTTGATTTTTACAGGGGGATTCCAATTAAGAGATTGCCATGCATCTCAGAAGAGACTTTGGACTATGAAACAAGTTTAAGACTGTTATAGACTATGGGAACTTTTGAAATTGGACTGAATGCACTTTTTGCATTATGCTATAAGCCTTTGGGGGCCAGGGAGTGGAATGTGGTGGTGTGAGTGAAAATGGCCCCTAAAAGGAGTAGCACTATTAGGAGGTGTGGCCTTGTTGGAGGAAGTGTGTCACTGTGGGGGTGGGCTCAGAGGTCTCTCTTGCTCAAGCTTCCCTCAGTGTGACTGTCAGTTGACTTCCGGCTGTCTCCCTGTCAAGATGTAACCAGCACCATGCCTGCCTGCATGCTGCCACATTCTCTGTCATTATAATAATTGACTGAACCTTGAAAATATAAGTGAACCACCCCAATTAAATGTTTTCTTTGTAAGAGTTACCACGGTTATGGTATCTCTTTACAGCAATAAAAACCCTAACTAAGACACTGAGAAAGTGCAGGGACAGATGTTTTAAGAATATTTCAGAGCCTCATAAAGAGATCTTATGTGTGTTACAACCTCCAAGGTATAAGAAAGACCTTCAAGTAGATAAGGATATCTTCCCAAAATCAGGAGGGGTAGTGTGCTCAGGACTTTCCTGGGGAAGCTTAGAAGCATTACTCCTGGAAGAAGGCATAAATGATTCATAAGAAATTTTCCATAAATCCATATCCCTAAGTTGCACAAAGTCCCCCAAGTGTGCAACACATGGAGATAAAAAAAACAAAAGTGGCCCAGCAGCCATCACGCCGCTCAGCTTTGCTGAATCTTGGTCAAGCAGCTGAGTTGGCTTTATGCCTTTTACAGTTCCCATCAGATATGGCTGCACTAGTGTCTAACTTACCTCATCAAAGAATATCATCTATAGACCAATTCTGGTAAATGTGTGGCTACTTTGCAACCAGCAAAAGATCATATCTATAAACTGTTCCCCCCCCCCCAATTTTGGGGTAGACCCATATATGTGTGTCTATCCAACTTGTTAATGTTGTTCTTCAAAGATTCTACATTTGCAGTGATGTCACACGCTTCTCCAAGTTCCAGAGAGGCGGATGCAACCGAAATTACCTGAGCATCCTCGAGTTTCATCCACGAGGTGGTTGGTTTTCCACAGAGACAATCCTGCAGCCCTAGGAAGATCATCTGACAACACCATGCCCTAGCTCCGGCTCACAGTGCTCCACGAATTCTCTAGAACGTTACATTACTAGCTTACCTCTCATGCTCCCTCATGCAAGGGGGTGACCAGGGTCCTCTTACTTTAGGGAAGGTAAAGGTTTTAGAACCCGTTTCTTTAAGGCAACAGGTTTAAGGTGGCCAACCTTGCACGTGCACCAGAGGATCCAACCCCTAGCCAGCAGCCCTCCTGCTGCGCCTGCGCAAAGGGTCACCTTGTCGAGGCCCCGTGGCCTTGTGGGAAATGTAGTCCAGCGCGCCCGGCGCGGCTGTGTGTGTCGAAAGCCTGTGGTTTCTTCCGTGACTGGGGTGAGTGCGGCGCCTCGGGCGGGTGGTCCGCGAGCGGGGAAGGCGGAGGCGTTTCCACTGGGAGCCCGGGGCTGTGACCTGAGGGCGGGGCCGGCCGGGCAGGGCGGTGCGCGGTCCTCCGCGAACACCGCCGAGTCGCAGGTGGGCTGCTCACGCGGGCTCCAGGCCGCAGGCACCACTGATCGAGACCCCGGCTCGGCCCCTCCCGTACCCCGGAGTCAGTCGCACAGGGTTGCTCGCGAGCTCTACCTAGCCGGGCAGCCCTGGCCCGGTAGGCGCGGCGAACGCGTCGGGAACCGGCTGTCGGAAGCCTGGGAGGACGCGGGGCCGCAATCGGGGGCTCCGGCCTTTGTGCGCACCGCTGCTCGGGATCCGCCCTCTGCCTGCGGGAGCAAAGGAAGCACGCAGAGTGTGGGTCCCGGCTAAGAGAGAATGTACCCTCCGAATTTCTCCTCTTGAAGTTCACTCTTGGTCAACTAGAAAATACACGAGCAAAGTCATTCAAAACCTGTCAAAAATCCGTGTGTCGTGTAGATAGGTGTATATGTATAAATAGAAACATTTTACTTCTAAAAATAGGAATGTTAGTGACCTTCCTCCATTCACCTTTACAAATGGAGTTAGCAAAATGCATTTTGTAAGATTTTAATAGTGTAAATGGTACAGGCCATCTGTTCATGTCTTTCTTTGGATTGCCTCTTTCCACAAATCTTCAAGTGAAATTTCCAGGCCATTGTTACAGTAAGACCTTTAGACACCACCTGCGTTATTCTTTACAGAAAGTAGCAGTTTATAAATATGGTTGCAGTGTAAGAGTGCCTAATGGCCCCCCACACCAACTTGAAGTCTTAGTATTTTCTTAAGCCTTGGTGCAGGCCAGATGTGGTGGTGTATGCCTTTAATCCCGCAGAGGCAGGGAGATGACTTTGAGGCCACCCTGCTCTACATGGAGAGTTCTGAGCCAGCCACGGCTACATAGTCAGGCCGTATCTCAAAAGATATCCCAGAGCTAAACTCCATCTCATTTTATTCTTAACTTTTACATCTGTTCTACAAACAGGTTTCATGAATATACAGAAAAGTTACGTATTCCTGTAGTCATACAAACCTCCCCTCTGTGTTTTCTTTTTCCATTTTCACATGTGGGGGGGGGTGCAGGTGCACATGTGTCCAAATACATGTGGAGACCTGAAGTCGGTGCTGGGAACTTTGATCTTCCTCCAAGCCCACAGGCATTCATGTTCTTGCTTGCCTCCTTGTCTCTCATGCTTGCACAGTAAATGCTGTATCCACTGAGCCGTCCCCAGGGCCGCCTCCCTTCTCCTCCACCCGCTTTGTGTTTACAATAATTAGAGAGACCTTCTGTTTCGTCACATCACAAAGATGTTCATTTATAGTTTCTTACAGAATTATCATTCCATTTCTGCATCTTTATTCTTTTCCAAATGGCAACCCTTGTTATATGTTACAATTAGTCTTTTCATCATTGATCAGAGATATTAACTTTCTCATATCCTCAGTCCACCTTACCCACCCCCTGCCTTTACTGTGGTAGGGATCAAACTCAGGGCCTCCACTGAGCTATAACTCAGCCCCTGAATTTCTTTCTGTGTGTGTTTGTGTGTGTGTGTGTGTGTGTGTGTGTGTGTGTGTGTGTGTGTGTGTGTTTTCTAAACTACTTGTATTGCTAGGATTTGTTCCTTATTGGTCTGTAACATCCATGAAGGTGGAGACCGGAGACCTTGCCTGTTGTATTTATGGCTGTACTCAATATTACTTGGCATGCTGCTCTTCTCACAGTAGGTGTTGACAAGATATTTAATATGTCAGAAGTTCTTCAGTAATACTATTGAGCTGACTGGTTTTCTGTCACCTTGACAGAGGTTGGAGTTATCTGAAAAGAGAGCCTCAGTTGAGAAAATGCCTCCATAAGGTCTGGCTTTAGGGCATTTCTTAATTAGTAGTTGATATGGGAGGGCCCAGCCCATTGTGGGTAATGCCATCCTTGGACTGATTGTCCTGGGGTCTATAAAAAAGCAGACTGAGCAAGCCATAATGAGTAAGCCAATAAGCATCATCTCCTGCCTCCAGATTCCTGCCCTGTTTGAGTTTCTGTCTTAACTTTCTTCAATAATGAACAGTGATATGGAAGTGTAAGCCAAATAAACCCTTTCCTACCCCAAGCTTTGGTCATGGTGTTTCATCACAGCAAAAGTGACCCTAGCTAAGACCATTGTGTTCTAGTTAATGTCATTTAAAACAAGTGGGCAAGTTCTCTTTCAAGACTACAACCTTAAATTGAAATAATGTGCATATTTGTTATAGTGTTATAATTTGATTATACAGTATATGGTCAAATGAGAGTAATTAGCATAATCTATAAGCTCACAAATTTGTCATTTCTTTGTGTCGGGAGCGTTGAAGATGCTTTCTTCAGCAGAGTGTAATCCCAGCACCTGGGAGCCATCTTCCATTTCACAGCAAGTTCATGGGCAGCCTGGGCCGTGTGAGACCCTGTCCCCAGAATGAAAGACCAGGGGCTGAAGAGAAGACTGGGTGGGAGAAAGTGCCTTCAGTGCAAGCGTGAGGACCTGAATTCAGAGGAGTGTGTAACCCCAGTTCTGGGGAGGTGAGGCACAGAGGCAGGAGGATTGCTGGAGTTTGCTGTCCACCAGCCAGACTCCAGGTTCAGAGGCTCTGACTCAAAGGACTAGGCAGAGAGTAATAAAGCCGGACACCAAGAGCCCTCCTCTGGCACCTACCTCTGTACACACCCACACATGTGTGAATACACCACACACACATACACACCCACACGTGTGAATACACCATATACACACACGTGTTGATATACCACACACACATGTACAAACAACCAAAAAACGGAAACTTCCTTGCTAATTTAAAAATAAGCTAATATGAGTTAAGTATAACTAACCTTTTGTGCTGTAGAAGGTTAAAAGATACTTCTCTTGCTTAACTTTATTCTTGTGCCTGATAACTGATCCCCCTCTATGCCTGACTCTGCTTCTCAGTGTCTGGTAGCCACTACGGTACTTCTGCTCCATTAAGATCCACTTACTCTGCTTCCGCATTTAAGTGAGAATATCTGCTGTTTGTCTTCACTAGGCTCCTTTAAATTTTTTCAAAGGCTGGAGAGGTGGCTTAGCAGTTAAGAGCCCTAGCTGCTCTTATAGAGGATCAGGTTTGGTTCCCAGCACCTACGTAGTGGCTTAAAACCATCTGGAACTCCAGTTCCAGGGGATCCGATACCTTCTTTCACCTCCTCCCACACCAGACACGAATGTGGTAGACAGAACACTCATACACAGAAAATAAATACATCTAAAAAAAAGATGTTATACAACATGATTAATACTTTTTCTATAATTAACTTTAAAATATTGTGATTGAGGTATATAAACTGTTTAGGAATGTGTTAAATGTATAAATTCAGGTCAAGGAAGTAATAGCTTAGCATCCTGAGCCATCCTACCCATGAGTACAGCATGCCTCCCCATTCATTTCTGTTTATATACCTAAGTAAGCTTAACAAAGCAAAGTTTATAGGTAAACTATTTAAATTGTATTTATGTTGACACCTCGCACTTCTTATTTATTTGTAGGTGTTTTATTTTTCGTTGCGGCAGGAGTCTCTCTCATGGCTTCCTTTCCCTCCCTCAGCCCTTCCTCTAGAGACTGCACATTCTCTAGGAAGGCCCCACAGGAAGGAGGAAGGCAATGGGTGCTGGGCCTCTGCCATTGGGAGCTCAGGTGAGACGCCCTTTACTCCCATCGTGTGAATGGACTTCATTACAAAGGACAGACGTATTAGAGTATTGGAGCATTGGGTCCCTTCAGTGTCCTTCACCTCTGTTCTAAGCTGACACTGGAGTTCTTGATGTACTCAAAGGCTAGAAAAGGCACCAAAGTCACAGGAGAGATGAATTGGTGTTTGTAGGGCTTATGGACTACCAGGAGTCAGAAAAGCCTAGGAAAGGGAAAGGCAAGGGTGTGATGAGAAGGGAGTGTCTACTCATCTCAGGGTCTGGGGAAGGACGCCGTAGAGGGTTTGCTGTAATGGAGGTTCAAGTTTCAGTCTGGAGTCTTACCAGGCATGCGTCACATCACTCCCCCATGGTGCAGATAGAAGTCACAGCCATTACCTGAGTGTCTGCCATACACGTGGAATGGTTAAGTCTCATGGCACTGACTTCTGTTTAGCTATGGTGAATACTACATTGTGAATGGTGTTAGTGTAGGGAATGCAGGTGAGAGGGTGAGAACATGTAGGAAGGGCCAGCAGCAGCTTCCCACCAGCCACCAGGCCCCGGTCCTTAAAGGCCCCACCACTCTGTGTGTGTGTGTGTGTGTGTGTGTGTGTGTGTGTGCCCATGCTTACATTTGCAAAGGCCAGAAGAGGACACAGGTGTCTTCCTCTATCACTTCATGATATTTTTATGTTTAGACAAGGTCTCTTGCTCAAGCAGGAGCTTATCATTGAAGCTGTGTTAGCTGGCCAGAAAACTACCAGGATCTACCATCTGTACCTGCCAGTGTTAGGGTTATAGGCATCCTGCCTTTTATGTGAGTCCTTGGGGTCTGAACTCAGGTCTGCTGATTTGCATCGCTCACTCTTAGCCACTGTTACAGCTCCCCAGCCCTCCCCAACCACTTAAACATTGCCACTGGGGGACCAGGCTTCTAACACTTGAACCTTTGAGGTCAAACCACCTCAGGATCCAAACCATAGCACTACTCTGTACCTTCTTTTCCTATCCACATTTCCTGAGACAGTCAGTGTTGATTGTCACCTTGACAGAATCTGGAATCACCTGGGAGAAGGGTTTGGGGCATGGCTATACTATGTTGCTTCTGGTGCTGCTTTATCTTTTTTCAAGGCCTTATTGGCAAAATCCCCTGTTAAGGAGGAATTTGTGGTTTCAGGAGTCAGTGACATTCAAGGATGTATCTGTGGACTGTACTTGGGAGGAGTAGATGCAGCTAGATTCTGTGCAGAGGAAGCTGTATGGCAGAGTGATGCTGGAGAGCTACAGGAACCTGGTCTGCCTGGGTGAGAACCCCCCTTGCAACTCAAGACCTGATTCTTGCCCTTCCCCCTTCAGCCATCTGCCATATGAAATTCATGGGTTTAACTTGAAACCCCAGGTCTCATGGGGCATTGTTAGGATCGTCCCTTAGTATCCCATCTTTCTAGGTAAAAAGTCTGCAAAGAAGGAAAACATGGAAATGGAGGAAATCAGAACTGGGCTGGGATTGGGTGTTGACTAAGTTCAGGACCCAAACTTGGTTTGTTTCCTCTTAAGCAGGACATCAACTTTTCAAATCAAATGTGATCTCTGATCTGGAACAAGGACTGAGCCTGAGGAAAAGAGAACTCCCAGCTTGCATCTCTCTGGGTAAGTGTCAGGATGCAAGGACTAGTAATGTAACATGAGTGTCTTACCAAGAGGACGTGTGAAAGGGATCTTGTGTCCTTTATGAGGACAGTGCCACTGTGCTGTTGAGACTGGTCCTCCACTGTTAACCTTGTGTCCTGGGCTTGGAGGAGGGGATGGATGCAGTGTAAGACTTGAGTCACTATACCTGAGCATTTGTGCACTGCCTGGAGCCTCTGAGCATTTGGAAACATTAGCAATGACTTTTGTCTCTTCTTCATCTGTGTTCAGTTAAACCTGTCACCACCTGAGACACCTCCTTTTACTGTCTTTGTTCCCGGGCCTAACCTGTATTCTTAGCTTCCTTCCCCTTGTTTATGTAAACATTTGGGAGCTTTCTTTTCTTCCTGCCTTGATCGGCATTTTGAACAGTCTGCACATTTTGAAAAGTGAGAAATGACTGTAGTTTTGTTTGCATCTCTAGCAGCTTTACATCCTGTTGCACTTATCGCTATAAAATGCCCATCTGTGTCCACCAGCCGTTCATCCCTGCCATGCATCTCTTAATGCTTAGTGCCTTGGTCAGTCCCCATCACAGCTGGAAGTTCCCTTGGAGATGGTATCCCTGACTGCTCTGTGCAGAAGACACCTTTTACATCTTGCTTCCCCATATTTCCAGCCCCGTTGTTTTAAAATGTATTTTTTAAAGCTAAAGAGCGAGCAAGGGACCTAGGGATGGCTCAGTTGGTGACATGCTCGCTGTGTAAGCGTGAGAACCTGAGTTCAACCCCAGTGCCCACGTAGAAGCCAAGCCTATAGATTACAGGCCGCACACACCTGTAATCCAGCAATAAGGGGGCAGAGACAGGAAGACCCCTGGGGCCCGCTGGCCAGTACTCTAGTCAAATGGGAGAGTTCCTGGTTCAGTGAGAGACCCCGTCTCAGAAAATAAGGTGGAGAGTAATAGAGACACCTGACATCATCCCTGTCTCAAAACAAAAGAATGTATTATTACATGAATGGTGATGTCAGTGTTGGTATGGTGTGATCTATTGGAAAATGTCCTCAGGAGTAGATGCTGGGGTGCTCAGGGGTGCATGTTACACCAGTGAGCTAAGAAGTGATCTAGCAAAGCCAGTATGTATATATAACACAGAGAAAAAGTAAATGTGGCCGAGTATCTGCAGCCAGAGAATCTGGGTGAGTGAGGGTCAGCTATGTTCACTGTTCGCTCATTTCTGTGGATTCAGACTCTCAAAATTAAAGGAGGCTGAGGAGAGACTGGCTATTGTCTGAGTCCTGTGGATGTCCTAGGCTCTCCCTGGGGACCCCCTGCAGACTTCCTGTTATCTGTTATCTGTGCAGTTTGTCAAGGAAATAGGAAACCAGGTACCCTGAGTCGAAGCACACAAGTTACCCTGCACTCGCTTTCTGAAGAAAAGGGAACTTTTATAACTTTTATAGGCATAGATAAAAGGAAGTTATTAACAAACACATTCAGTGAATACCTGGGTAGGGCCCATATATAAGTGAGTTAAGGCAAAGTAGGAAAGTTCTGGCTACTGGGCTGTGTTGGTATTGCACTGTGTTCCTAGGGAGGTTGTTGATCAAGGCAGAAGTCAGTTCTCAAATGCATCCCCAAAGATTAACAGTAGTGAGGATGTGAGATCACACATAGAAGTCAAGACTAATGGCTTACCTTCTAAAGATTTTCTTCCAGACCTCCAACAAGCTTGCCTCTGTATATATCTCCATGCAAAAGTAGTCCATCTGGTATTTGCATGAAGAAGAAATTGTCAAAAATTTCCTTGTGAATGTTTAATTTTACAACATGAATAAAATGTTCTGGCCACCACTGCTGGCTTTCAGTGAGCGTCCTAGAGAACGGGATTCTAAAGAGGACTTGCTGGGTCTAAGGGTTTGCATTTAGAGGGCTTGCTACTTCTTGTACAGCTTCCAGTCCTGTGTTAGGCTTGTAATTTGTAATGCTCATTTATCTGCTGTACCGTGGTGATCCCTTTAAGGAGCTTAATCGCTTTCATTACAGTGTTCAGTGGTGTGGATTACCATTGTCATTTGTGTTTATTGTTTTGTAAGTAGTTTATTCATTCCACAAATGCTCAGGGAGTACTAGGCCCTCTTTCTGGCCCTGGGAGTATAGCAAGAAAGTAGCGTGGGCAGAATTTCTTTGAGGAACTCATGGTCTGGTTAGGGAGAGGATACTTTAATAGAGAAGAGAGAAGTGGGGAGAAGGGAAAGAGCAGAGGAGGAGCTGGGGACAGCGTAGTCAGTGAGTGGGTGAAAGAGAAAGCAACCTAGGGGAGAGCTTAGTTTGCTCTGTAGGGGTCATGACTTTGAACAGAGCTCAGATAAAGCCATGAGTCTAGGATAGTATTCTGAGCATAGGGACAGCAAGTGCCAAGGCCCTGATGTGGGAATTTGCCCTTCTGAGGGGGAGAGTGCCTTGGGTACAGAATCCTTGAACCATAGTTATTTCACTCCTGAGAAAAAATTAACTTCTGCTTTTAGATTATTTATTATCCATGAATTGCTTATTCATTCTCTCTCTCTGTCTCTGTCTCTGTCTCTGTCTCTCTCTCTGTCTCTCTCTCTCTCTCTCTCTCTCTCTGTGTGTGTAGTATATTCACTTTTCACTTGTGTGTGGTGTATGCATGGGGGTGTGTGGTGGTGGGGGTATGCTCACTTGAGGCCAGAGGACATCAGGTATCCTGCTCTATCACCCGGCCTTATTCCTTCTAGATAGGGTCTCTCTGAACCTAGAGGTAGGCTAGCAGCCAGCAAGCCACAGCAGTCCTCTGTGTGACTCCCACAACTCCAGGATTTTAAGCACAAATGCCCATTCTCAGCTTCTGTGTGGGTGCTGGGGTTGAAACAGTCCTCATGCTTGCTGAGCAAGCACTCATCCCCACTGAGCTGGCTCCACAGCCCCTGCTCCTTTCTGTTAGCAATGCAGTAACTTCTCTTGCTTTGTCAATATTTTCACTTTGGGATGGTTTTGGAGTTTGTTGGTATACACATGTAGTTATGTATTTCTACACTCACTAGATTGAGTGCGTTTGTTCAAGGTTCTTTTTTGGTCACTCCACTGTCGTGTAGTAAGGTTTCTTGAGACATTGGATGGAAATGTTTGTTTGTGGTGCTAGAGATCAACCCCTGCCTCTCACATGCTAAGCGAGGGCTTTACTACTAAGCTGTATCCCCAGCCCCATGCTTTTGATAACGATTTCCTACCCCACTCTTTTATCTTCTTTCGGACTTTCCCATCAGGAAGGATCCAAAAGCTTCTTCACCTGTTTATGATTGGCGTGCACACTCTATTTACTTTTCTTCCTGAGCATCTGGCTGCCTGCTGGCTTGTAGGCTCACTGAACTGTCATTACTGAGCTTACATTTCATTTTATGCCTACCCAGCAAGTGCTTGATAATATGTGTTGAGTATTAGATAATGCTCAATAATACATTGATAATGTATTAAGCAGAACTTTAAAAGTCAGATACAAATGTAGGTGTGAGAATTGTAACCATATCTGTGGAATTCTTACCAGTGGAAATTGGAGAATTGTCGGGATAGAACCAAAGGCCAAAGATGCTCCCACACAGGTTACAGATGCATGCCCAGGGATGAGGAGGGAGCTGGCTCAGGGAAAAAAGAAAAGCAGAAAGAATGCAGCAGTATTGATAAGAAAGGATAAACACCTGTGGTTTCATCCATTCTTACTTTATAAACTGAGTGATTGAGAAGCCCCTGTAACCCAGGGAAGAGCCTGCTCAGTGCCAAGGGGGTGTGCTGTGCTGTGTGTGGAAGAGGGCAGAAGCAAGTACAGCCTGACATTTCATCAAGGTTGGATGGAAGGGAAAAAGGAAGAGAAGAGCACCTTCGCCATGTTCGTCACTGCAGTGGATCTGTATTATCCTCTAGAGGAGAAACTGTGGAGAACAGGGTGAAGCCCAGGGAGTGCAATGATGTGCAGTGTAGAGCATGCTCTTTCCAGATTTCCCTGTGTATCACTGTCCGGTTAGCAGTTAAGTGGTGTCGTGTTAGCAGGTAAATGTCTGCCTGTGCAGAGGTGTGTTTTGGTTTTCTGTACATGTAAGTCACATGGGTCTTTCCTCACCTTTGCAGGCCTGGCGTGTTGTCTTTTGGCATCCTGTGTTCCTGGGAGGATCTCCTAGGCCAGTTGTTAAAAATTTATAGGTAATCTTTTTTTCTTTTTCTTAAGAATTAAGTTCTGAGAATTTGCATTTAAGTTAGGCATCTAAATTTAATAAAAAATATATTGATCCTTATTAAGTTTTATATAGTGTTAAAATAATTTGAGTTTAAAACTGTTAGCACTTTGCTGAATAGAAAATGCTTTATTCTTTTTCTCAGTTGATTTTTGGAATATATAAACAGAAGGATTTATATAACATATATACTATTTGACACAACACATATTCTGTTAAACCTTTAATAAATTAATGCTTAACTATTTTTTCTTATATAAATAATACACGTACCATCTAACAGATGAGGAGATTGGAACACAGAAAGGTTAAGAAACCTGCACAAAGCTAATAGTGGTCGAAATCAAATTTGAGCCAGATAAATAATCTGGCTCCAGAGTTATCACCTAACCACTAAGCTATCCTGATTTTCTATGGAGTTAGTGGTGATGAAAATTAGTGAGGAATAAAGAGAGCAGACACCCAGGGTCCAGAACCTATTCAAGAACCAGCATCCCACTCACTTTCTTACCTCTGCCCAGGACTGACCACTATTCTGATTTGTGATGATTTCTGTATTAGTCACACTTCTCTAGAGGAACAGAAGGGGATTTATTAGAGTGGTCTATGGGCTGTGGTCCAACGAGTCCAACAATGACTGTCCCTTGAAGGAAAGGCCAAGAATCCAGTAGTTATTAAATCCATGAGTCTGGATGTCTCCAACTGCTCTTCAATCTATATTGGAATCCCAAAGAAACAGGTTCTGATACCAGCGAAGAATGCCTCAGCAGGAGGATAGATGAACTGTTAGTGAGAGCGAGGGCAAGCAGGCAAGAGCAAACCCTTCCTTCTTCCATGTCCTTTTATGTGGGCTGCCACCAACTATGGCCCAGATTTAGGGTGAGTCTTCCCACCTCAAAGCGTCCAATCAAGTAAATCCCCTGTGGACATGCCCAGCTGTTTGTGTTTTAGTTATTAACAGATGTAGTCAACTTGACAACCAAGATTAGCCATCACAAGTCCATCCTGTAACTTGACATACAATCACATCTCCTTATGTCATGACCAGTTTCCAAATGAAAACAATAACCAGGTCATAATTCCACCTAACATGATAGAACTATCCCATGTACAACTGTAAATATATGATAGGTGCCAGTATCCCCTAAGGAATGGTTAGTCTTTTAGTGTCTCGTAACTTAAATACAGTAATCACTAATGTTATCTCAGTTGATATTACATTACATGATGAGAAATAGGAACACAAATATCACTTAATGTGTATGTGCACAAACTCATTCCTTTGTTTTTATATTTTTACATCCAGACACAAACTCATTCTTAACATAATAGGACAGAAACACTCATGTCAATTGCAGTGTATTTTTCTGTCATATGACTTTAGCTGGTATTTATAACTACCTTCCTCTATCTAAAAATATTCTCTATTTCTTCTGTCCCAGCAAGCACCTCAGAAGGTTTTGGTCTTTTCCTGGAGGAGTGACCCACACTTGCATTCCCGTAGGTCTGTGCCCTTTGTCATCCTGCCTGGATTACGCTGTTATAGTTTCCCATTGACTTTAACCACAGACCATGGGAGCACCAGGAGAACCATAAAGGATCTCTTACACTCCAGATATAATCTTGCTTACCTCCATTGTGGGGAAACAATACAGTTTCTCCCTGGTAATCTGGATCAGTCACCCCTGCTAACACTGCTACTCCTTTCTTAGTCTGTTGACTTAAGTGGATCAGAAATGCAAAGTGGCCAGGGAGAAATCTGAGCTTCCAGCTCAATGGAATGTTTGTTATATCTCCCAGCAGGAATGCTGCTCCGTCTGGAGCCAAAACTTCTAGGCCAGCAGAACGTAAGGCCATGGGAACAGGAAGCAAACATTTTCCAAGTGGGTCACTAGGGTTGATAGAGAGTGGAATTATTCCCCTTTCCATCCCCTTGATTCCTGGTCCTGTGGATCCTGGCTGTGGGCAAAACTATACCATATGTTGGATGCTAATTCAAAGCATATATCATCTTCTGGAGAACCCTGTCCCAGCCATCCAGGCTGCTGCCACCTAATTGGCAGTATAAGTGCATCTTCAAAAGGCTGTTCCATCTTTCTATCAGGCCAGCTGCTTCCGGATGATGGAGGACATGGTAAGACCAGTGGATTCCATGAGCATAGGCCCTTCTCTGTTGCACTTCTCTGTCTATGAAGTGAGTTCCTTGGTTAGAAGCAATGCTATATGGAATAACATGACGGTGAAGAAAGCATTCTGTCAGTCTACAGATGATAGCTTTGGCAGAAGCATTGCACACAGGAAAGGCAAACCCATAATCAGAATAAGTTATCTATTCCAGTATCAGGTGTTCTGTGTTGCATGGGACGTTCAAAAGAATGTAATTATAGGCTCTCTGGCAGCAGAGAGGAACAGTTTCTGTGAACTGAACCTCGAACCTCCATTCAGAAGCATATTTATTGAGAGTACACAAAGGTTGTGTTTGGGGTACAACAAGTCCCTCACACCAAAGCTGAACCTCGAACCTCCGTTCAGAAGCATATTGAGTGTACACAAAGGTTGTGTTTGGAGTAAAAGTCCCCCACACCAAAGCTGAACCTTGAACCTCCATTCAGAAGCATACTGAGTGTACACAAAGGTTGTGTTTGGGGTACAACAAGTCCCTCATACCAAAGCCCCTTTGATCTGTTCTCTGTGCTCTCTGAAGGAAATCATCACAGCCCGCAGCCTTAGTCCTTATTGTGTGATGTTTTCAGTACCAATAATTCAAGATGCTCCAAGTGTGCCTGGATAGATAGGCTTGTGACCAAAGTCAGCAACGGATGGAAAACTTCCTTAGAAAAAGAACTCTATAAATTATAGAAAACAATCACTGTTCTCTACTATGGTTTCTTCAAGGTCTCGGTACCTTCAACAAATACTAATACATTCAACTGTTACCCTAGATACAATGAGAAGCAACTGTTACATTCTAATGTTTACCCTAGATACAGTGAGAAGCAACTGTTACATTCTAATGTTGACCCTAGATACAGTGAGAAGCAATTGTTACATTCTAATGTTTACCCTAGATACAGTGAGAAGCAATTGTTACATTCTAATGTTTACCCTAGATACAGTGAGAAGCAATTGTTACATTCTAATGTTTACCCTAGACTCTACTAGATTCCCACTACAAGTAAGGACAAAGTGTTGTCCTTTCCATGAAGAGTGGCCTTATGTCGTGAAGTTGACAATCAAGATTAGCTATCACCATTCCCTTCCCTGGCTCTTCTTTACAGTATTGCCGTCTATCTGTGCTAATGGATTCTCCCCTGCACTTTTTGTTGGATTCTGAACAGCAATTCCAATATTCTCAAAGAATGTGAATTAGATAACTGGATGTGGCCAGAGTGATCTGGGACAGGAGACAGCTGCTGGCTCATATGTTGCTTGCTGATACCACTAGGTAGACATTCTCTCCAGAGTTATGTAGGGACATGTATTTTGGTGGTAATTCCAGCTTGACTTATACTTTCTCTTTTTGTTAAAGCAGGTCAGCTTGGAAGGGAGAAGCTCTGTTACTTACATTTCTTGCTTCAAAGCCTTTGGTTTACTGTATCCCGTGTTGATCTCTGCTCTGTTGACTTTGATCAGCAGTCCTAAAGCTGATTCTCAGATTGCAGTTTCCTGTCCTCTCTCCTCACTGCCTCCAGGCTATTTTGTTTGGGATAAGTAGTAGTCTTAAGAACCTGAGAGGCTCCTGGTCCTTCCTTCTGTGCAGTGCCCTCTAGCAGCTCAACAGATTCTCTTCATCTTGCTCTACTCCACAAGTTCTCAACTTCACAGAAAGACAACTTAGGAAAGAGTAGGGTGGTTTGGGCCTGTTACATCTGTGAGTAGAACACTGCTTAAAGGTTAAGGAAAAAGCCTTTAAGACAGCATCTTCCTCCTTTAGGAGTGGTGAGCTTCAAATGTGTTCTGTTCTGTATGGTGTAGATGACGGTGTTCCCCAGGGGTAGTTTACATATAGTTAGGATCTTACACCTTGTCAGATTATTTTATCCTCTTTTATATCTGTAAAAGCTCAAATCCAAAGAAACAAGTACATCATTAAGTTATTGTTAAAATCCACTGTTTGAACTCACATGTGTGACTCACGGGGCAACAGTCTTTTCATGGTGTGATATTTCCTTAAGTTAATTTGGTGTAGAGTTCTAAGTAACTTTATGAGAGGAAAGAAACTACTAGTAGGAATGCCAGATGGATAGGTATCTTGGTTTCTTTTCTGGTTGCTCTAACAAAGCATCGTAGGGGAGAAAGAAGTTATTTCAGCTTACAGTTCCAGGTTACAGTCCATCATGGCAGAGAAGACATTTTGGTAGGAGACTGAGACAGCTAGTCACAAAAAATGCCTGGTGAAGAAGCAGAGGGTAATGAATGCATGCATGCTAGTACTCAGCTTGCTATCGCCATCTTATGAAGGATTCCTGCCCAGGGAATGATCCCATCCAGTCAGTATGGGTCTTCCCACAAAAATTAGTCTAATCAGAATAATCCTCCATGGGTATGTCCTTGGGCCAACACATCATAACAATCCTTCATTGAGCCTTTCTTCCAAGATGAATCTAGGGTCTGTCAAGTTAACAACATCAACCCTTACAATTCTACCCGTTGCCAATTTGATACCAAAACAAATCAATTTAAAGCCATAACCTTCTACCCCTTGTATCCATAGGCTCATTACCATGTTGTAAAATGTGTTCAATCCAACTTTAAAAGTTCCCATTGTATTTAACAATTCCATTACCTTAAAAGTTCACTCTCTTCGGGGGCTGGAGAGATGGCTCAGAGGTTAAGAGCACTGACTGCTCTTCCAGAGGTCTTGAGTTCAATTCCCAGCAACCACATGGTGGCTCACAACCATCTGTAATGAGATCTGGTGCCCTCTTCTGGCCTGCAGTCATACATGCTGTATACATAATAAATAAATAAATAAATCTTTTAAAAAAAAAAAAAAAAAAAAAAAAGTTCACTCTCTTCATTGTGAGCACTAACTTTTTTAAAAGTTATATACTTCCAACATAATGGCACAGAGTAAATAGGGCATAAAATAATCACACCAAAGCAAACCAAAATCCTACAGCTCCATATCTGAGGCTCTTAATGTTCTGGGCTCCATGTGGCTTAGGTATCTACCCTTCAGCTTTGCCACACACTCTCCTAGGCCAGCTCTACTTCATTCCTTCAGTTTGCACTGGCAGATATCCCACAGTCCTGGCATCTCCAATATCCTATGGTCTCTATTGTGACTGAGACTTCATTTTCACAGTTTCACACAATAGTCTATTGAGGCCTCTGTGCAGAGACTGACCTTGCCATATACTTCCTGGCCTCAGCTAAAATCCATACCCCTCACCCCCATCTTGCATCTTTCATGCCTTCAAAACTAGTATATGGATTATGCTACCAAGCTCTGCCCCTGCTCAAGAAGAGGCATGACCCCCTTGGACTAGAGCTATCCCGGCTTCTGTGTGCTAGTCCTGGAGAAGCATGTGCTAGGAAGTTGTTATCGAGGAACAGGAGCCACTTCGAACTAGATTTTGTTCTTTTAAATGAACTTGAGTCTTCACATGAAGGAGCCTCTTTTGAGTGCTTTTTGCTTCTCATATAATCCCAGTGCAGTGCAGGAGGTGCCTCAACAATGGTGCTGATCTCTTTAACAAGTACAGCTGCATTCTCAGACACAACCTAAATGCCCTCCTGACCTCAGTTTCTCTGGCCAAACCAGTCAGTCCATTGGCTGCAAATACAGCTTTATCATGTTCTCAGGACATGGGCAGAATGAATCCAGATACTTTAACAAATGGCCCCTAGCTCAGTCCATGATAGAGCCAAGTTTGTCTCAGTCTTGTTAGCTCCCACCAGAATGAGTTAAGCTCTGATTCCAGCATTCAGTGACTCTTTTAGCCCAATGTACAAAACTCTTCCACATTCTAGCCACAGATGGGTCCAAAGACATAAGAATGATATAGTCAAGTTTACACACTAAAGGCACCACTTCTGGGTACCAATTTCTGTCTTAATTTCTTTTCTGTTGCTGTGATAAAATACTCTGATAAAAGTAACTTAAGGGAGAAGTTTTATTTAACTCATAGTTCACATTAAAGTCCATTCATGGTAGAGAAGTCACAGTGGCAAGTGCCTGAGGAAGTTGGTCACTTTATATCTACAGTGCGAAGGCAAGAACAATGAATGCATGCATGGTGGTGGTCAGTTTGCTATCTATCCCTGTCTTGTACAGGATCCCCTGCCCAAGAGAAGGCCCAGACTAGCCTTCTCACATCAATTCATGTAAGCCAATTATTTACTTTTTTTCAGGCTGGGAGACAAGACTTGAAACCAAAGAGTTAACTCCAAAGTCCAACAGTATTGAAAATTTGCCCTATGGGGTCATAATGGAAAGGGAAGATCTCTGGCATTCAGCTTTAGGGACTGTCTGGGACCCCTCTTGCTGGTTAGAGGGGCAACAGGAAAGATATCTGGACCAAGTGGCAGTGACCCAAAAGGAAACCTTTAATGAGAAGAGGGTATGTGGAGGTAATAAAACTGAAAAATGTTCCAATGAGGGTTCAATGCTTAATGCACCACAAAGCATTCCTTTGCCAAAAAGACCCCGAAATTGGAATTCATGTGGAAAAGATACCAAACAAAATTCCAAGTTAATGAAAGCTTCAAGAATGTTTGTAGGAAAGAAAATATATGAATGTGATGCGTGCAGGAAAACCTTCAGCCAGAGTTCATCCTTGCTTAAGCACCAGAGGATTCACACTGGGGAGAAGCCTTACAAATGCAGTGTATGTGACAAGCACTTCATTGAACGCTCCTCCCTCACCGTTCATCAAAGGACTCATACAGGAGAAAAACCCTACAAATGTAATGAGTGTGGGAAAGCCTTCAGTCAGAGTATGAACCTTACAGTTCATCAAAGAACTCATACTGGAGAGAAACCTTATCAGTGCAAAGAGTGTGGAAAAGCTTTTCGTAAGAATTCCTCCCTTATTCAACATGAAAGGATCCATACTGGAGAGAAGCCCTACAAATGTAAGGATTGTGGGAAGGCTTTTACACAAAGCATGAATCTTACAGTGCACCAGAGAACTCATACCGGAGAAAAACCCTATGAATGTAATGAATGTGGAAAAGCCTTCAGTCAAAGCATGCATCTTATTGTCCATCAGAGAAGTCATACCGGAGAAAAACCCTATGAATGCAGTGAATGTGGAAAAGCCTTCAGTAAAAGCTCAACTCTCACTCTACATCAGAGAAATCACACTGGAGAAAAACCCTACAAATGTAACAAATGTGGTAAATCATTTAGTCAAAGCACATACCTTATAGAACATCAGAGACTTCACTCTGGAGTGAAACCTTTTGAATGTAACCAGTGTGGAAAGGCTTTTAGTAAGAATTCTTCTCTTACTCAGCATCGGAGAATTCACACTGGTGAGAAACCTTATGAGTGTATGGTATGTGGAAAGCATTTTACTGGGAGATCATCCCTAACTGTACATCAGGTTATACACACTGGAGAGAAACCTTATGAATGCACTGAATGTGGAAAGGCCTTTAGCCAAAGCGCCTACCTTATTGAACATCAAAGAATTCATACTGGTGAAAAACCCTATGAATGTGACCAGTGTGGGAAAGCTTTCATTAAGAATTCATCCCTTATGGTGCACCAGAGGATACACACAGGAGAGAAACCCTATCAGTGTAATGAATGTGGAAAAGCCTTCAGTAGGAGTACAAACCTCACAAGACATCAGAGGACTCATACATGAGAGAAGTTTGCACTGGCACCTTCATCTTGATCAGTTCATTAATAATAGCCCTTTGTCATGTTAATGTAGATACTTCATAACCATAACTCATGTGGGAACCTTTTATAGCATACCAGGTAGTAAAACCATAGCAGATTAACCATATGAAAGTGAATACCTTCATTCAAATGGTAAAATTTTATATCAGATTTGAGTAGCTAATACATTAATGATGAAGATAAGCTCTATTGTGTCATACTTGGATTTCTGATTTGGGCATCACATATTTTTCACACTGGATGGAAAATGTGATAGTACTTAACTAGACAGACAAAAAATCTGGTATGTGGTACTAACCCCCATGAGTTTAAACAAGTCACCCACTCTCATAAGATCACAGTGCCCTTATGTGCTAAATGAGAGATTTTGGGTTAGATAAAATGTCCAAAAGATGCAGGGAATTTTTTAGTCTTTTGTGGTTATATGTGCTGTGGAGATGCTTTTATTTCATATTGTGATTTTCTTGAATGTTTTAGGTTAAAATCCTCTACCTCTAACTCCTATTGTCCTTCAAGTTCTCCCCTTTCCCTGAATTGCTTTATCTTCTAAAATGTAGGCTAGTTGCTCCTGGGTGGAAGATAAATGTGCATATTTTAATGCCATAGCATGCTGTTTTGAATTCTCAACTGATAGTCATTAAACTGTTGTTAAATAAGCTGATTATATTTAGATGACAATGTGACAAATATAATCTTTAAATACTTAGGAATCAAATACATATCTTTGTGTTTACTTGACTGTCATGGAAATTTAAAGACATGTGGATTGAATACTAATTGTCCTGGATAGTTTTATGTCAACTTAACACAAGCTAAAATCATCTAAGAGGAAGGAACCTCAATTAATGCCTCCATGAAATCGGGCTGTATAGGGCATTTTCCTAATTAGTGATTGGTGGGGTAGGACCCAACCATTGTGGGTGGCACCATCTCTGGGCTGATGGTCCTTGGTTCTATAAGAAAGCAGGCTGAGCAAGCCAGCAAGCAGCATTCCTCCATGGCCTCTGCATCACCTCCTGCTTCTATGTTCCTGCCCTGTTTGAGTTCCTGTCCCGACTTTCTTCAGTAATGAACAGAGATATGGAAGTGTACGCCAAATAAACTCTTTCCTCTCCAAGTTGCTTTGGTCATAATGTTTCATCACAGCAATAGAAACCCTAACTATGATGCTAATAGACATAGGAATTCAGCAAATTAATAAAACCTTTGCAACTCAAAACATACTCAGAACCACAGGAATAGTTTATAGATCATGATAGTAGTTGATTTATTAAATGCATATTGACTGAGTCCTAAATATGAGCTAGATATTTTAGGGGATCCTTGCAGGCTTTTTGGTGGCAGAGAAACAGTCCATGAAGAGACAAGAATGAAACTCCATTCATCCCGACTTTGAAACTAATGCTGTGCCAAAACTTCCAGAGTCTGACCCCAGTTCATTTATTTTAGCCATATTTAAGCACAGCACAGTTTTTGAAGAAAGGATTTTCTGATAACAACTAACTCAGTCTTGTGAGTACAACAAAGCTTAAGACATGTTTGTTTACATAGAAGCTCTTAACAAAGTACATATGGCTTCTTCCATAAAGTTGGGTCCTGTTGACTTAAAAACAATGCTCAAGATAAGAGTCTGTGGAGTATGACTGAGGTAAACAGTGCCTGTGGGAGTCAGGATTGTAAAGTACAAATGACATTACTCATAAGGATGAGTTTTATGGCCTAGAAACAATGCTCAAGGTTTTGGGGGCAGGGGAAGTCTGGGATAAACGAACACCATATTCTGGGGAATGTGGGTAGAACCTGGCTCAACAGGTTGCAAAGGATTACTAGGTTGTAAACTACATTTCCCCCAGCGTTCCAGAACAGCCAAACATCTCCTCCCTTTGGAGAGAGAAGCTGCATGTTTAACTTTTCCAGGCTTCAGTGCTTATCTGTATGTGCAAGGACCTTTGCCCCTACAAGATATAATCAGAAAATCAAAATTAATGTTAACATTTTTTTGATTCTCTATAGGCTAAGAATGTGGCAGTGTGATGAGAGAATAATCAAAACCGTAATGAGACAAAACCAGAAAGATTGGTAATTGGTTAAATACGGCTATTTGAACAAGAAAGTAGAGTCTAGAGTGATTTGAATTTCTTATTTGGGCAAATTGGATTTCATAATTATAAACACATAAAGTGTATCAGTTTTGTGGGATAGTGATGGTCTCAGTTCCCCTTATAACCTCCAACATCTGGCTGTTAAAGGGGCCTTGATCTGGGTCTTGAGCTTGAAGAAAGGAAGGGACCCTGACAGTTGATGTATCCTTAGGACATAGTTGAAGTAGGTCACTTGCCTATATTTATGCTAATTTGCATGGCTCAGTCTCTTCCCACAAACCACAGGCTTGCTTGAGTACTTCCCCCAGGCTGCAGGCTGGAATAACAACATGAGTGCGACACTTGCTACTCATGGTACATACATAGGTCAACTTCAAGAGTTCCAGGGTGGAGGACTCCCAGTCCCTGCTGCCAAGTAGCTCCTAGCTCAGGATGCCCAAGCCAGCTGATGCAAAGCAGCAAAAATAATGGGAAGATGGCTCAAAGAACCCAGTACATCTAGGAAATTCTGAGAGGTTGGTGATTTGAGTGTGTAGCAGTCTGAGTGACAGGAAATGAAGCTAAAGTAAGATGTTGCACCCTACTACAAAGATCCTGTTACTGGGCTCTGCAAACCAACGCTAGGAACTAGGAAGAAGTAGCCAGTCTCTTGAAGAAATCAGATTGGTCCTGTATAAACATCATTTGCATATCCATAATTCATAGTGGGAGCAGACAGGGAAACAGTGTTGGTTTCTCTCAACCCCTTTCATTCTTAGACTGAATCCTAATGGAAAAAAAGTCGATGAGGAAAACGGGTTGCCCAGGTAAATGCTGGGAACAGTAAGTAAAGCTAGTAGGGGAGTCCTACCTAGAGCAAGATGGTTCATGGATTTTATGTCAAAGGTGTCAATACATAAAAGTTTAGGGTTGTTTTAATCACTGAGACAGTCTCATCCAGACTGGCCTTGAACTCAGTGTGTTGCCAAGGAAGACCTTTAACTTCTGATCCTCCTGCCTCTACTTTCTGAGTGAATTACAGGTGTACTGCCACCACACCCAGTTTACATAGCACTGGGTACCAAATACAGGTATTCATGCAAGCACTCTACCAACTCAGCTACATTCCAGCCCTATTTAGAGGTTATAGGCACGTGCGCATACACACACATGCAGAAGGCCATAATCATTCCCTAATGACTTCCACTAGCCCCATCAGAAATAAGTCAGATAATGGGAGTTGCACTACTTTTATCAGTTCTGTTAGACATGTCTCTTCCAAGCCAGCCTGGGCAGCCAGGGTGATTGCCTTTGCACCTTCATCAGCAGGAGTGGCGGTCCTGCTTCTGCCTACTTCACTTCCTGGGGCCTTGCTCAAGGCATTTCATACATTAGTGCCCGTTTCCTCCTTTGTTAGCGGTGCAAACCTAAGTGCTTTGGGTTGTGTTAGATAATAAAGTACTTAGGAAAGTGCCCAACACAGTTAGTGTAAAGGCCATCCAGAACCCACAAACATCTAGGAGAACCACTAGGCTCTCAAAGCGAATGTCTTAGAGGAAGGTGAAAGGAAAAGTATCAGCTCAGGACCCCAAAGACCAAGTTCTCAGCACAAAGCAGATGTATTTGCCCCAGAGGGACAGAGGGCAGGGATAAGGGACAAAGACAGGAGACAGAGGATGAGGGAGAAGGGACAGGGGACAGAAGTATTTGTCCCAGGGGGACAAAGAACTGTATCTAGATAGAGAGGAAATAAATGTGGCCCATAGGCAAATGGTGATTTATAAAGGCAAAGTGGGAACCCCTGTGTGTAGGATGAGGTGTTTAATTTTAATTGGGTATATTAACTGGGTGAGCCAAAGGGGGTTTCTGATTGCTGGACTTCAACACTTTGATACCTGGACCTCCTAGCCTCAGGAGGAAGTGGCCAAATAAGGGAATAGACCTTGGTGGCTAGCTTTAGGAATATAATCTAACGGTTTTTAGCAAGGAAGAAGGAATTGGGGAGAAGGGCAAGGCCTGCCAGAGCCATGCTTGCCATGCTTCAGCTGGCCAGTCTCTTCAGAAGGCATGTAATGGAGGGAGGCTATGCCACACACTGCCTATTGCAGAAGCCTCCAGATCTAATGTCCTTTCTCTCCCTCAACCACACCATGGTCTGGGCTTTTCATTTGTTTATTTTGCTGTTGTTTTGGGTGAGTTTTGATGATTTTTTTTTCAGTGCTAGAAATCAAGTCAGCAGATGCCATGTCCCTGTGCTACCGCCATCCCTAGCCCTCATCCTGACTCTGTCTTCCCCAGAACTGACCAGTCTCTACAGACTGTCACCTCAAACCTCAAGCGCTTTCCTATCACACAAAATGAACCCTATGTTCCTATCGTGGCTATCAAACCTGAGTCGCGGGCAATCCATCTTGAGCTGTTTTCTTTCCTTTTTTTTTTTTTTTTTTGGTGATGATGCTAGTCTTGCTAAGCATCAAATACACCAAGCCAGCTTCTTTGTGGGCAGCTTTTCTCAGGAAAGTCAAATCTAACTATCCCCCATCCCTGTTCTCTCTGTAACTCACTAACACGGTTGTACTGTCCTGTCATTCCCTGATGAATATTTTCTGTTTGATGGACCACCTTCCCTAGTCAAGCCAACCCTCCAGTGCAGGGTCACTCTGTTTCTCCAGCCTCTGCACAGTGCCTGGCACCTACATGCTCCCTAAGTGAGAGAACGACACCTTTAAAGCACCGGATAGAATCACCGACATTGCATCCTAAAGGGTGGCCAGTAGTCCCTGAAGTGCCAGTCCTCAGGTCACATTTTGAATTTTAAATTTAATTGTTTTACTATTTTGCCAACAAGAAAGTTGCTCCATGAATACTTACTACATATTCAAAGGCAACTAGCTATCTTTAGGGGGACGCCCTGGAACATCACCCCATCCTCGCCGGCTCCACCCCGCGGTCCCAGAAAGACTTGTTGACCTCCAGGGTCGTCGCTCCCCTACTTCACTCCTGTTCCTCCCACCTCTCATCCCCGCGCGTCTGGGTGACCGTCAGGAAGCCCCGCTAACCGCCACAGGCGCTACATTGAGCGCCCTGCCTGCGCCGCACGCCTGTCGAGAGCGCGATCCTGACAGTTTTTCCAGCCCTTTCTCTGGAGCTCGGCCCTCCTACGCAGTTTCTGGACCTTCCCGGCATCCTGGGCCGTGTTTCACTGCAGAGACACAAGCAAGCATCCTCCACAAGACCCGATCGCGTTTCTGCTCCTCTTTGAGTGGAAGACGATTCAGTGTCCCCGCGGAGGCTTCTGGGAACTGTAGTTCAGCCAAAAAGAAAAAAAGAAAAAGCCACTCTGCGCAGGCGTACATCATCACTTTTGCCTCCCACTCTCCCTCTGGGAAAAGGAGTCCCGAAACCCTAGAGTTGCAGCACCGTGATTTGTGGGAATTAGGGTCCCCGGCTCCAAAAGCATGCGCACGCGCGATTCCGCTTCAGGCTGCAGGCTCCAGCTCATTGTGTCCTGACTGTTATGTGGCGGCTATGCTCTGTCGCCGCGGTGGTGGCGCCTCGAAGGGCAGCCCCGCGGTGACCAGCAGCGTCCAGAGTGGAGCCGGAGAGCGACGGTCAGGTCTGGGGGAAGGGCGTGCTGGGTTGTGGTCCGTTTTAGAGGACATGGATCCCATGCCCTTAACTTCGCAGCATGTGTACTGAGATTTGACTCCACACAGAGAAAGGACTGGCAAAATGGTCTTGTGTTGGAACTGAGGGGTCCGAACGTGATTGCATATGGAGAAGGGTGGTTGTCTCTAGCATGTCTGAGGGCAGACTCAGGAAGGCGGTAGCATCCAATTGATGAGCATATTCCCGGTGGGGCTTCAAGTCCTGTCTGAGGAACTTGAGAATGGGGCAACTGCAGTGCAGCCCCTGCATGTGACAAAGCGGTGAAGGGTGACTTGTGTGAATGATCCCCGCCCCACACACCCCCACCCCACCCCTCACACTCATACACACCATGCAAATACACTGCCTTTGACTCCGGGTCACTTAACCGAACCCAAAGGAGGATCCTGAGACCACAGAAGAGTTTGGCCTGCAAGGCTTCTGAGATGAAGATCTGGCTTGCTTAGCTCCTCTCCCTTTCCCCCTCCTTCCCTCTCATCAGGATCAAGCTGTCCCAGGAGGAAAGATGTCTTCAGACTCCCAACCATACCTTTCGGGAAATGGACAGAGGATGGTTTGAGACCTGCCGGCCTGGACAAGCTTTCTTCAAGGGAAAGTCAAAGCTGTAAGACGCAGAACGGGAAGGCATGGAGGATCTCACCAAAGGAAAGATGCCAAGAGGAAATGGCATGGTGAGCAAGTCACCTTACAGATGAGGCTAGGAGGAACTCTCTCAAAAGCGTTAGGGAACTAGGAGCAAACTAACCAAAGAACCCATTGCTTTGGGGGCACTGAGGATGCCAGGCTATGCATGGTCAGGTTCACACCCTGTGACTTTTGACCCAGCCCTCTCATCACAGGTGTGCAGGTGCCTCTAGCCTGGGGGGACCCCACACTTGCTAAGCTCCTCACCTGCCTCCTCCGTCTTGGTGGTCCTCAGCGAGCGCAGCAGAGAAGAAGAAATAGCGGTCAGGCACCTCCCAGCCCTGGTCCCGGTGAGTGGAGAAGGAGTGTTGTGAGTCACCCGCCCCGCTGCTGGGTTCTTGACTTGAAGAATATAAGGTTGTTTGCTCTGACCCCAGTCTCCCCCAAACCCCTGACCCCAGTTGCTCCCTTCCACCTCGCATCTCATCCTAGTGGGCTTTGGAGCTTTACATAAGTCATGTAAATGGCACAAGCGGGCAGGAGTCTAGCTTAGTCTGAAATGAAAATCTTACACTTTGTATTAGCCAGTAAGATGGGAGTCCAAAATGGTAAAAACAGGGTCGGACATAGGAACCAAGAGAAGGAATTCGAACTTTTTCCTGTGAAGATGGGGTTTTGTAGACTCCTCTCGTTTCTTTCTTTCTTTTCAAGATACCATGTATCTTTTGTTTCAGAGGACTATTTAATGTCACTAAAAATATTCGAAGAGCTCTACTTCTAGAAGCTAGGAGTATAGCTTTGTGGTAGAGAACTTTGCTGGTATGTAAAAGGCTCTAGGTTTAGTCTCCAGCAACACACACACACACACACACACACACACACACACACACACACACACACACAACTGGGCATGGTGGTTTACACCTGTAATCCTAACACTTGTAAGGCTGCAGGAAGATCAAAAGTTCAGGGCCAGCCTGGGTTACATGGAGAGCCTTCTACATAGAGCTCAGTGTAAGCGGACATTTCCTGTCCCGACTACCTGTTCCCAAATACCTGGTAGCCTCTTCCCAAATTACCACATAGAGGCTTATATTAATTATAAATACTCGGCTAATAGCTCAGGCTTGTTACTAACTAGCTCTTACAACTTAAACTAACCCATTTCTATTAATCTATGTATTGCCATGTGGCTCGTGGCTTTACCTGTCTTCTAGCATGTCTTGCTTCCTGGGCAGCTGGCTGACTGGCATCTCTCCTGACTCAGCATTCTCAGTTTGGCTTTCCCACCTAACTTCCTGCCCAGCTACCAGCCTGTCAGCTTTTATCAACCAACGAGAGTAATACATATCCATAGTGTAGAAGAGGATTGTTCCACAGCAGCTCAGAGCTGAAAAATAATCTGAGTAGCACCAGCCTGTTTATAGCCAGGTTCATTTGGTAAAACCTGTTCTAATTCCTTCACTTTTAGGCCTTTAACTTTGCAGGACAGGAACATTTGGGAGGTGAGAAGCTGGGTGAACAACCAACAGTTCCAGCTTGCTGACTGCTTGTTCCCTTGGGTTTTTGTAAGCAAATGAGCTTTATTTAGAGGCTGAAAGTTCAAGATTGGGCGGCCATGTGTAGCAAGGGCTCTCTGCTGCATTGTATGTAGTGAATGGTACCACAAGGCGGGAAAGAAAGGGATGTGGAGAGTGCTGTGTGGTGAGAGGAAACAAGAAAGAGTGCCAGAGGTGTTAAATTCCCTTTCTAACAACCTGCTCCTAACAGCCGCTGCAATCCAGAAAGACATGCCCATCCCGCCCGTCCCCACAATGTGCATTGCGCCCTCCAGAGAATGGAACTCAAGTAACTCACTCCCTTCCCCACTTCCCCTGTAAGCCCCACCCCTTCAGATTTCCCACTTCCCAACACATTTGCACTGGACACCAGGCACATGTGTGTTGGAGGAATGAACCATATCTGAGACACAGCAGTTAAACCCTGTTTATGTTGTTTACAGAGTGCCAAGATTTGGCTGCCATCGGGCAGGCCTAACTTAGGGATATAAAATGTGCCAGGTCTGTGAGCTGTGTTAGAAACCTGAGATGAATAACAGTTCTTGATAAATCAGTTCATGGGTTCACTTCAGCCAGTGTTGCTTGGCTCCTTGATGTGTGCCAAGGCTTTGGGTACAGGTAACAAACTTAATTAAGCTATCTTAAGTTAAAGCAGGCATTTTTCTGGCTTCCCCTTGACCCTTCTTCCTCAGTGCACACTAGCTCCCTGTGAAGACCACACTGTGAGTGGTGCTGTTTTCCATGCTCGATTTCAGGCTCCCGAGAGACACTCTTTCTGTCCTTGTTCAGAATTTCCAAGGAAGAGATGAGTTATAATCAGAGAAGACATGGGATCATAGCACAGAATGATTATTTCCGTGGCGCGCGCGCGTGTGTGTGTGCGTGTGTGTGTGTGTGTGTGTGTGTGTGTGTGTGTGTACACTCACACATGTGTTGGGGTGGGTAGAGGAGCAGTTGAAGAAAAGGAAGTCTTACTGAAAACAATGGTTATGTGCCACCCAACGACATGGGTACATTCTGAGAAGTGCATCGTGAAGTGTTTCATCTTGATGTGAACACAGGGTATGTCTCCCAACCTAGATGGTGTGGGTCAGCCATTCCATCTGGCCTCCTAGTGTAATCCAGAGATGTGGAAAACATGAAACACGTGAGGTTACTGCTGGGGAAACACGGCATACTGTTCTACAGTAAAGGTTTCTTGAATGTATCAGAGTGTACTCTAACGATTTAAAAAGAATACAACAGGTGTATCAATGTTGTTTGCTATCATTCCTAAGAGTTAGCCACTGTACAATACTGTCTATATTATGCTTCTATATTACTGCTGGTGCAATATGTTTATCTAAACCATCATCACCACAAACATGGAAGTCTGTGTTATGCTGACATTACACCAGCTACATTAGGCCTGTGGAGAAAGATGGGAGATGTTGTGGGCAAGTAAACGAGTTCACAGTCTCATTATTTCTCTACGATTGGCGTCAAAGTGGGGGACAAAACATGTCTTCAGCACAAAGCTCAGCCTAGGAGATGCTGAAGACATGCCTAGCTTGTCCCCGGACACCAGCTTCCTGCGGGCTAATGGTCCCCATGAGCTTCTGGGGCAGCCAGTATGGGCTTTCCTGTGGTATCTCCTGGTCAGTAAGAAAGGGTTCTCTGTTACAGGACTTGGTGACCTTCAAGGATGTGGCTGTGCTCTTCACCCAGGAGGAGTGGAGACGGCTGAGCTCTGCCCAGAGGGCCCTGTACAGGGATGTGATGTCAGAGAACTACAGCAACCTGGTCTCGCTGGGTAAGCTGGACACCACAGCATTTAGCTTCACCTCTGGGGACTTGTTAGGACCCCCCGGAACTGCCATACAACAGATTGGGTTGGAATTGGGCTTGCTGATGATACTGCCTTCACTCCTACTATGTGTCTGTCCCCTTGGTGTCCCCAGAGCTCTGCTGAAGTCATACCTGGAGATGTGTCACAACTGAGAGAGATACGCGAACAGACTGTCTGTTTCAAGCCCAAGCCACCACACACACACAAACATGCTCCCCTTCCTTCCTGATCACCATTTCCAGAAAGCTCTGAGGACCAGGTCTCATCCTTACAGTGACTTTTATCTCCATCATGAAGAGATAAGATCAAATTTTTTCCTCCTTCAAAAACAGGACTCTCGGGATCCAAACCAGATGTGTTTTTTCGTCTGGAGAAGGCAGACAAATGCATGTCAGAGGACGCTGCAGAAGGCTTTGTTCTTGGTAAGAATCATGCGTGTGGGACATTGGGAGGAGCCCATTCGGTGGGGTAGGCCTGAGGTCTCAGCAAATGTGACAGGCCTGAGCCACACTGTCGCAGCATGCATACCCAAACTGGCATTCCTTATGGAAGTCTGTACTTGGTGGAGCCCCCTTCCATCATCTCTTTTCTCTCTTTGGTTCACATTATTAGTAGTCTGGGGCAGGAGAGGTGGCTCAGCAGTTAAGAGTGCTTGCCCCTCTTCCCGAGGACTGGACTTCAGTTCCAAGTATCCACGTTGGGCAGCTCACAGTTGCCTGTAACTGCAGCTCCAGGGGATCCAACATCCTCATCTGGCCTCCATAGGCACACTGCACACACATTCATACACATAAATGAAAATAAAATTTAAAAACTTAGCGGTCCTCTTCCCCCACCCCTGTGTTGGGGTGGCCTCTCTTAATTGTGCAGGACCCACCCAAGTTCCTCTGGTGAGGGGTCTCCTGGGGCTCTGGAGACAGTTCTGTGCTCACTGAAGCTCCCCTTTTTCTAGTGACGCTCTACACACGTCCTCACCTCCCTCTTCTTTCTCTAACCACATGGAAGTACATTCACCCAGCGTGGACCTGCCCTCGTGTTCCAGGCTGTGTGCTTGGCTACGGGTGCCAGAAGGGCCAGGATTGTTGTAGACTTGGCTGTATGGCTCACACCTAGTGCCATTGTGGTTGCTAGTGAGACTTGCTGCCTGGGATGGAGAGCACGACAGCTCCGTGGCTGTCACTTGTTCTGAGGAGTCCCCTGGGGGTTGTGACTCCAAGATGGGGATATATCTTTCTGATATATATATATATATATATATATATATATATATATATATATATATATATATATATATATATATATATACATACATACACACACACATACACATATATACACATATACACATATATACATATACATATATATACAAATATATAAAAAATATATATTTGTATATATATATATATACAAAGATATATATATATATATCTCTTTGAATTATTCTAGAAAGCTCCTTGCTTTACCTAAGATGCTGTAACATTACACTTTCCTGTAGTATGTTACAGACTGTAAAATATCTTTTTTTTTTTTGAGACAGAGTCTCTCTCCACATAGCCCTGGCTGTCTTGGAAGTTGCTATGTAGACCAGGCTAACCTTGAACTCACAGAGATCCACCTGTCTCTGCCTCCTGAGTGCTGGGATTAAAGGTGTGCGCCACCACACTTGACCTGTAAAGTATCTTTTAGAACCTCTTATTACTATTTTTTCACTCTAATCCAGTAAAATAGGCAGAGGTTTATATTTTATAGTTGGTATCTACCCACCTCAAATGTTTAGGACTCAATGCTTGATGGAATTTAGCTATCATAACTCAAAATTGCAGTTATTAAAAAATATTTAATTTACCACTGATAGAGCTCAGTGATAGAGCATGCGTGAGGTCTTAGGTCAATGTTTCTCAACCTATAGGTCACCCTTTGGGTGTAGCACGAATCTTAAAAGTTCTTATTAATAAAAACAAACCTGGTGCCAGTTATTGGGGTGAATGCTGGAAGATCAGAGAAGCAGAACAAGCCACAACCACCTCACCTTGCCAGTTCCTCAGCTGATCCTATTTCCTCAGACTGGAAGCCTCTGTGTCCTCATCCAGAATGAATCTCAGCTGAACTGTTGCTCAAAAGCTTAACCAGGCCTAGGTCCTCGTCCTCACACCTTAAATACCTTTCTACTTCCTGCCATCACTTCCTGGGATTAAAGGCTCTTGTTACCACACCTGGTTGTTTCCAGTGTGGCTTTGAACTGCCTCTGGAATGCTAGGATTAAAGGTGTGTGTGCCACCATTTTGGGGCCTCTGTATCTAGTGGCTATTCTGTTCCCTAACCCCAGATAAGTTTATTAGGATGCACAATATTTTGGGGAACACAATATCACCACACTTTGGGGGTTGAATGACCTTTCACAGGGGTCACCTAAGACTATCGGAAAACACAGATATTCACATTATGATTCATAACAGTAGCAAAATTACAGTTGTGAAGTAGCAACAAAAATAATCTATGGTTGGGGGTCACCACAACATGAGAAACTGTATTAAGGAGTTACAGCATTAGAAAGGTTGAGAACCAACTGTCCTAGGTTCAATCCCCAGTACAGGGAAATAAAAATCTTTAACTCACCCCTATAGAATATTCTATGGATTTGATGTTCTTTGACAACCAAGTGCCTTAACTCACTAAGCCATCTTGCCAGCCCAAAATCTCCAACATTTTGAGTACTGACAAGCCACCACACCTGACTTCAGATGACAGATTGCGGTCAAAATTCAGACACTGAAACTATTCTATAAAAATTACCTTAGGTTGTATGTATAAAGTATACATAAACATAAGGGGGTTTCATGTTTAATCTTGGGTCCCATCCCTGAGATTTCTCCTTATGCTTGTGCAGACATCCCCAAATGAAAAACAACAACAGTGAAACTCTCTTCCCAGGCGTGTCTGACAAGGACTGCTCAGCTGTATTATATTAAAATTTTTCCATTGTTGTGCCTACTACTCTCAGCTTAGCATAGGCAGTTATTTTTTAATTAGCATACACAGCACCAGGTTTCATTATAGAATTTTCAAACAAAGTTCATTTTGTCGATTCTCATCCTTTTTTCCCCATCCCTCTGACCGCCCCCCCCACCTTTCTACTTTTAAGTCATATACATCCTATTGCCCACCCCTCCTCAGCATCTCTTCCCCCCTCTCATGGGCTCCTTTCTTGTTTCGTAGCCTATACTCACACTCACATAGGAACATTACAAGGTGGGATACAATGAGTGAGAGTATGTAATTTTTTCCTTCTGAGTCTGAGTTACCTCGCATATTATAACACTTTCCCTCTCCTTCCATTTTCCTGAAACTTGCGTTTTTCTTTATGGTTTCCTAAAATTCACTATGTATATTACCACATTTTCATCATCATTTCCTGTTGATGGACATCTAGGCTGGTTCCGTTTTCTGACTATTGTGAATTAAGCACAAATAAACATGGATGAGATGTGGTGGGATGTAGAGTGCTTTGGGTATCTGTTAAGCATGAGATAGCCGGGTCATATGGTAGTTGAATTTTTAATTTTTTTTTTAGAAATCTCCATACTGATTTCCATATGGCTGTGCTTTACACGCCCACCAGCAGGAAATAAGGCTTTTTCTCTTTGCCCACATCTCTTTGCCAACACTCACACTTAGACAGTTATTTTTAATCACAGAAAGAAAAATATCATGATAGATGGTTTTGCTCTTTATGTTTTCTGTCCTCGGGCCACGAGCGGACAGAGCTAAGAGTTGAGTGCCGCATGGGGTGCTCTGGGGCAGGCATCTGTGCTTGCTGACACATTTAATCTTTAATATCCTGCAAATCAAGAGTGATGGGTGCACTCTGCAGCTGACCCCACCCAGTGGAGATAACGGATTAGGCCTGATTGAATGCTGCTCTTGGGGGGAAGGTTGGGATTAGCATAAACCCACCTGGCTCCAAAGCTCTTGCATTTTTCTTCCCTTCTCCACATTCCTTTTAATCGTGCAGAATCCCAAGGGAAACTACCAGACCTTCTCTCAAGTGGCTGCTGGTCATTTTTACACGTCTTTCCTCATTTATTAATTATCTGTTATGTCTCGGTGTCTCATACCCTTTAGCTTTCAATTCTTGTTTTTGATCTATGAATGTGTTCGTTTATAACCATATAATTTTATTTTTACTTTATTTGTGTGTGTGTGTGTGTGTGTGTGTGTGTGTGTGTGTATGCAGGTACCTACATAGACAGAAGCCAGAGGATGTTGAGCATTCTCTGTCTTATTCCCTTGAGGCAGGCTCTCTCACTGAACCTGGAGCTGGCTGTTTTCCAGCTAGACTGGTGGCCAGCAAGTCCCAGTGATTTTCCTGTCTGTCACCCTCCTCTCCAGTGCTGGGGTTGCAGCTGCTGGTGGCCACACTCAACCTTTACCTGATGCTAGGGATCCAAACTCTGGTTCTCATGCGCCTGTAGCAAGTGCTCTTACCTATTAAGCCACCATCCTCGCCCCCATTTATCACTTAAATATTGCATTATGTCCTCTTACTCTCTGTCTTCCTTGCAGTTTTCTCTTACAGTTATTGGGAAATTTTTTAGAGCTGATATATTGGCCTTCCATGTTGCAATTTTATTTTTGCACTTAGCATTATAATTTCTTTGGGGGCCTTAAAACACATTTATTTTGAATATTGTACACCGACTATAAAATTAACATAATTTTTGACCAGCCCTAAGGAGTTTAAACAATGATAAAAATGCAGTACTCATATCCTACCACCCAGTTTAAGAATGAGATCTAACCTCATCTTTGAAGTCCGGTGTGATTCCTCACCACACCTTCCTCCTGCCACACTAGAAAACCACTAGCTTGGTTTTAAACGTTGTTGTTGTTGCTGCTGCTACTGCTGCTGCTGCTGCTGGTGGTGATGGTGGTGGTGGTGGTGGTGGTGATGGTGGTGGTGGTGGTGGTTTTTCATGGCTGTCCTGGAACTTGCTCTGCAGAGCAGAGTGGCCTCGAACTCAGGGTGATGTTTACCACCATGTCTGACTTTGTTTTATTATTATTTGGGGGGTGGGGTGGGGTGCATGTGAATGCAGTGCTCTCAGAGACCAAAAGAGGGCATCAGATTCCCCTGTAGCTGGAGTTACAGGCAGTTGTGAGTCGTGTTCCACCACCACCACCACCACCTCCACCTCCACCTCCACCACCACCACCACCACCACCACCACCACCACCACCTCCACCACCATCACCACCTCCACCTCCACCACCACCACCACCACCACCTCCACCTCCACCACCACCATCACCACCACCACCACCACCACCACCACCACCACACCACCACCACCACCACCACCTCACCACCACCACCTCCACCTCCACCACCACCACCACCATACCACCACCACCACCACAC